TGCTATCGCTTTTTTTTGTTAGAGTGATTCGGATGAGGTTATCGAGCTGGATGACGACGACGACGAAGAAGAAGAAGCACCGAAACCTGTGAAGCGAACGAATCGGGCAGCTGTGCTAAGGTGGGCTGGCCTTACTGCTCTACCTTACTCAGAGACACATTTCTGACATCGTTCATGTTCTGTTCCCACACAGCCAACCTGCAGCTAAAAAGGCTCCACCGAAAAAGAGAGCAACACCTGCTCCAAAGCAGAGCCAGATAACGTTCGCGCCTGCTGGTAGGTCTTCGAGGGCGGCTGCGACAAAGGCGCGAGGGAAAATGGTGGTAGGTCTTGCATTGCATTCACTGTTTTCGCAAATTCTAAGTGTGCGTCCCAGGTTGATGACGATGACGATGATGACGATGACGATGATTGATTCTATATCGTAGTATTCATGTATCAAGACATGGGCTCGCCACCCTCTCTCTCGGATCCCCAAAAACTTTGGTTAATCCACTACCTCCCATACCGGCGCGTGTGAAATTGAAGAGTCACGCCAATGATTCAACTTAGCTTCAACCACTCAATTCACTCAATACTTGCATCCATGATAAACAAAATATAGTAGGTCTTCCACCACACAGATACACACAAATCACCACATATACGTTACTTGCATCCATGATAAACGAAATTCAGTAGGTCTGTTCAGCACACAGATTTGCACGAATTGACATATATACTTAGGAAACTTCGTGGCTGTATTTGGAAGCTCTGGCTTATGTTTCCTGATTCTCCGCGACTAAGAGCCTACGAAGCAGTCATCAGGATTGCCAGAAAGCATTGGAATGGCGCCACCACTTTGTATGTCGCCCGGCTACCGTTCGGTATTTACATCACGAGGGTTTACAAAGCCGTGGAGGAAGTCGCAGCTGCTCGATACGTCAAGGAAAACACCTCAAATCCTGTTCCTCATATCTTCGATTGCGTCTTTGCTGGTGATCCAGAGTGGCCGAAAGTGGGTCTTATCGTTATGCATGCAGCTCCAGGACAACATTTTGGGAAACAACCCGAAACCTTAACCGAGCTCTCAGAAGAGAAGCAGGATATCTTTGTTAAAACGCTACGAGGATGGTTCGAACAGCCTCGGTCTCTGCCTCCTCCAGATGAACGAATAGTTTCAAGCTTTCTCGGAGGCGGTCTCTTCAGCTACAGAATTGGTGACATTGTTGGAAAATCTTTAGGACCATACCCCTCCCAGCACGAGTTTCATGCCGAAGATTTTTGCACTCCTTGACCGTCAGATGACGAAGAACTTAGCAGGGCGTTGGACATACGGTCAAGAACCCAGTACAAAATCTGCCTCACCCATGGCGACCTGACTCCTACAAACATCCTTGTTGACAAAAATTTCCGTCCAGTAGCCCTCATCGACTGGGAAACGGCAAGTTGGATGCCGGAATACTGGGGGTTTACCAGGGCAGTGTACATTCGTGATCGATATGTCGGGTGGCGCGAGGTATTCAAGCGGATATTTCCTGGATATGAGACAGAGCTCATGGTGGAACGTGCGATCTGGGACCATTGGGTTCCTTACTATCACCCTTGATCGCCTCGTTCATTTTCACAACACGAAATCATGTAGTGACAGTTTGATACCTAATATACCCAATAATAGTAAAGCGAGAAGCCCAAATTGGACTTCAAGGTGGGCATGCTACAGTCGAAACCCTCATAACACATACATGCTGTATGCGATAACTCCCCACAACCCTTACTTTTTGGGGTCACCAAAACAAAAATCACACTAAAATTTGCCCCTCATAACCCATAAACCCGCGTAACCCATAACCATAGCCTTCCACCAAGCGGTATGGGTTATGAGGGTTTTGTCTGTATATCGAGTGACTCATTTGACCCACAAACTAGATTCACACGACTTGACACATAACGTGACTTGCATAAACAAAATTCAGTAGGTCAGTTCACCACACAGATTTACACTTACACAGATTTACACAAATTAACATGTATACGTTACTTGCATCCATGATTCAGTAGGTCAGTTCACCACACAGCTTTACACGAATTAACACATATACGTAGGAAACTTCGTGGCTGTATTTGGAGGCTCTGGCTTCTATTTCCTCCTTCTCTGCGACGGAGATTCTACAAAGCAGTCACCAGGATCGCCAGAAAGCATTGGAATGGCACTATCACTATATCTGTCACACGGCTACCGTTCGGTATTTACATCAAAGAGGGTCTCAATGCAGTGGAGGAAGTCGCAGCTACTCGATACGTCGAGGAAAATACCTCAATTCCTGTTCCTCATATCCTCGATTGTGTCTCCCTTTGCCATCCAAGGCGTCTGAGAGAAGGTATTATTGTTATGCAAGCAGCTCCAGGACGACATGTTGGGGAGCAACGCGAAGTCTTGCACGAGCTCTCAGAACAGAAGCAGGATATCTTTGTCGAAACGCTACGAGGATGGTTCGAACAGCTGCGGTCTCTGCCTCCTCCAGATGAACGAAAAATCTCAGGCTTTCTCGGAGGCGGTCTCTCCAGCTTCAGGATTGGTGACATTATTGGAAAACCTTTCGGACCATACCCCTCCCAGCACGAGTTTCATGCCGAAGATTTCTGCACTCCTTGGAAGTCAGATGACGAAGAACTCAGTAGGGCATTGGACATACGGTCAAGAACCCAGTACAAAATCTGCCTCACCCATGGCGACCTGACTCCTCACAACATCCTTGTTGACAAAAATTTCCGTCCAGTAGCCCTCATCGATTGGGAAACAGCTAGTTGGATGCCGGAATACTGGGAGTACACCAGGGCATTGTACATTCGGGAGCAGTATGTTGGGTGGTGCGAGGCTTTCAAGCGGATATTTCCTGGATATGAGTCAGAACTCATCGTGGAATCTGCAATCTGGAAACATTGGTTTCCTTAGTGAACCCTTGATCACCTCCTTCATTTGCACAGCACGAAATCATGTAGATAACAGTTGGGTACCTATTATACCAAATGCTAGTGAAGCAAGAAACCCAATTTGAACTTCAAGTTTGTTCCCCACATGCTATATCAATTGACCCTCATTCGACCCAAAAACTCTCATTGTGCTCACAAGTCAAATTGAAGGCTATGCGAGCTTCCGATGCAATCCCCGAGCAGGCCCTTATCTTCTCTCCACTCCTGTGCTCTTGGAGCCGCTTGTTGCTTTTCCTCCGATCACTGCCATCATTATCATTCAGTGAATGCGGTGAGTTTTTGTCTCCCTCTTTTGCGTCCTGGTGCTAACACATTACCCATATCCATCCTCAAAGTGTTCCCGCCATTGCTGATGCTGACTGCTGTGCCAATGATTGGGCTATGGTCTCTGATTTCTGCCACTTGATGGACTAGCTTTGCATTTGCACCATTGAACTCAACCACAACGCCCCTAAGCATCTTGAAACTACGTGTGGATAGTTGTCGTTACCTCGTTTGGTCCTTCCATTGCTGTAGATGTAGCTTGGCCCTCTGTGTCATCATCAGTATCTGTGGCGGTGTTCCGGTCCGATATCCGCTTGTGGTCCTTGACGTCTCACCATTACCACCTTCCTTCCAACTCTAACAACTGCTATAACATCGCCTCGATTGCTTTGATGGATATTGCGGACCAATTTTCTGGTCAGATATCCTGGTCGTGGGCCTCTTCCAGCAAAATGCCAGTGTTGCCTCTGGAGATCTTGCACGATATAATCTCGTTCTCACTTGGGTCGTTAACGTCTCCTGCTGCCTTACTTACTGCCTCGTCAGTTCTGCATAATGTCACACAACGAGTCTTATACGGTCAATTATACTTCAAATCTCGTCCTCAGCTTCTAGCCTTTATCTCTACCTTCAGTCTACGCCCCGTTCCTTGCTCTCCAAGGAGTGTCGAACTTCACATAACGGGTGACGGCTCCCACGTCTTTCTGGACCTCTTTGCCCTGTTTGGTCGATGTCTAGCTGGGGATTCAACAAAGGATGCAGAGCGAGACGAGAAAGGCAGACTTTGCTTGGATCTCATGCTGCTACACGTGAATTCGTATGCGTTTTACCACATTCCCGAGATGATATACACAGGGCTTTCACTCATAAAGCAAGTAGTAAACTGCTTGCAAAGCAATGTCTTATACCCTCTGAACCAAGTGTACATTTGTAGCCCCCGGCGATTCATATGGACTGGACCCGACCCTCCTCACCATTTTTCCACCGCCGTTCGTCCACCTGTTTCGTTTCAATCTTGGTACTCCCCAATTCAGATCCGGCTGCAGATAGTACCTCAAGCATTGCCATACCTCTTTAGCGCCCTATCAAGCTACACCAACCTCACAGATCTGAAGCTCACGCATCTCAGCATGGCTACCAACATAGGGTCATCATCTGAATTACCATTGTTGACCTCCCTCAAGAATCTTTCTCTTGGCCAGTCAACTTCTCTCCAACCCAGCGTTATTGCAGCTTTTGTCTTGAGGCCAGGTAATATAGCTTGAAATCTTGTGTGGCCGTACTCAAACACTCATCGGTAATGATTTGCTGTTTTCAGACATGCAAAAACTTGAGAAGGTCCACCTTGTGGATGTATACCAAGGAAGCATATGGGGTCCGCGTCTTCGGCGTTCGGACGTCGAGCAAGCTGCATTTGACGTTGTGCATGGTTTTGCAACAACAGTATCAGTTGATGGTGTCACGAACGACGACGTTCAGAAAGAGATTCTCAATTCTGCGCAGGAGCTCATTCGCAAAATTGTCGTTTGCGAAGCGAGGACAGAGCGTCTTGTTGGTGGGGATCGTGTCGAGGCCCACGGAATTCTCATTTGATACAGAAGGTACGTTTAAAGCTGAAGAGTTTTTGGAACACTTGAGTCATAAAGTTTTTCGGTTCTCATAGCATTCTTGTAAAGAAATGAGGCGATCTGAATTGGTAGCAAGTTTTTGGCAATTACCCATCTTTCTTCCCCAGACACAGCAATGCCAAATGCACTTAAATGAGCAGCGTGGCGCAGTTGGAAGCGCGCAGGGCCCATAACCCTGAGGTCACTCGATCGAAACGAGTCGCTGCTATGTTTTTGTCCTCAAGAAGCGGAACAAGGCGCCCAAGTGATGGTTGACTTGAATCAAATTGCGTTATTCAACCCAAGTTCACTGCTAGAATGATTTTGGCTATTTCCGAGTCAGTTCTTGACCTTCCTCCACAAACATGACTGCGTTGCCCCCCAGACCTCCACAGATGATGCCCATGTACACGATGTGAGCGCTTACAATATCTGGTTGAAAGTCGGGAACGTCTCTTCAGCAATCCGAGGCAATCCGTGAGCTACAGCGAAAATATTGGCATTTACTTTTGAATACTTGGCTATCTTATACACTTCGTGCCCTTTTAGAATGAGCAAGTACAAGCTTGAAGTGTTTGCTCCTCTCGGATTATCCGGAATTTATTACATTCAATATACCTGATCCGCTCAAATTTCCGGTTCTATCTACTGTCTACCTTTCCATTCACGCTGCCTACATTGACAAATTCTACCGAGACTTGGATGACAGTACGACACTCATTCCCAACGGCGCTTCTGCATAGATGTTGGAACATGTCATTTTTGAACTTCAAGCAGCCGGACGCGCCAAGAAAAACTATTTTACCTAAATTGACAACTCAAAGTTCATCCCTTTCCAAACCTTTGAATTTAGTTTTCTGTAACATGACGAAGGCCGCTGACCCGAGTGGCTCAAACGACAATTCTCCGGCAGGAGCAGTACGAACACCTTCCTGCAGGAGCCATTTCACGGTCTTTCCATCGAGGTCGTCAAGCTTAAAAGTGCTATTGGCCACATCGAGGTTTGTCACGAGCACGAGAGTCTCAGACTTCTTCGACCATAGACCGACATCAACGCGACCATGGGTCAGGTAGGAAAAGCTAGCCTCTGGGTCGAAAATATAGTTGGATATCTGTGGAAGCACCTTCGCTAACTTTGAAGCCGATTGTTTGATGTCATTTGGAGTAGGATCTATCCATGGAATTATTCCTGAAAGTTGGAGGTAAGAGGCAAGAAGGTCAGGGAACATCAGACAACAATAATATTAAGTGGAGTACCGCGAGCGCCGTGAATGATGCTGAGGATGGCTTGAACGAGCCACTCTCTTCCTGTTGGTGCTCGGCTCCAAAATCTGGGCAAAAACACTCAGCAAGAGGGCGTAAGGATGACAAATTCAGGTCCTACTCCTCTCCTCCAAATGCTTGCGTAACAGCCCAAACAACCTTGGTCTTATCCCAACCAAGAACGCGAAGTCTCGCTCGTGTTTCGTCCAGGCGTTTTGAGATATCCTCGAATCGTCCTTCACAGTCGTCGCAGCCACAACAGCCAAAGGTTGGTGTGCAAGGGGTATGGTACTTGGTTGAGAATGTAGCATTGTTGCCAATCATATACACGTCTGGCAGGATAACGTCGGCGCCAGAGACGTATTCGGGAAAGAAGTAGTCTGCGCAATTAAGAGCAAGAGAGACGGGGTGATATCCATCCAACGCTTGGACAATATCATATGCAGTCCGAGTCGCGGTTAGTAGATCACTAGTTCCGTCTGGCTCATCAGCGGTGTACCACAGAAGAAGATTTGGGCGATGTCTGATGATCTCGATTTCTTTGGACAGAGCTTTAGGGTTCTGATAGGTGCTGTCAATCAACCAATTGGGATCTTGGTTTTTCAGTACAGAAATAAAGACGTACTGTCGCATGTCGTACATTAACTGTAGGCCAATGCCCTCCATATGGTCCAAGATTGTCACCAATGCATCTGTGTCATCAAATGGAGGTACGGGATGTACTGTGTTGAAGCTTTCAAAGGCGTCAGAATAGCTGATATCAACTCCGAGACGTGCATTTACCCTTGGGCTTTGAGTTCATCTAGGATTGATATATTGAATGCGAGGTATTTTCCAAAATTGGTATAAAAACCAATAGGAAAGATCGGTTCAAAAGCCCCTCCGACCGATTTTGTCAATAAAGCCCCCGTCCTTCGATCTAGTTTGGTGACAGAGCCAGAGACAGGGTCTGGGAGATAAGATAGCAAGGAAGTAGCAACGAACGTTTGGTTTCCCTCTTTCGAGACGATATCGGCCGTGCACTTGACGCTGTACGGCTTTGTGCGTGGTTCTAGCTTGTTCAAAGACAGTGGGATGTCCCAGTTTGAAACATTGACTGGGACGTTGACGTGAACAGAGTCCGCGCTCTCTATTTCAATCGTCAATTCTAGGGTGCCATCCAGTGGCGATGATTCTATCAGTGAAGCTGAATGTATTTGTGTGAAGGTGACCGAGGTATCGACAAGTATAGAAGCAGAGTGACTGGAAACGTCTTCCGGTAGGTAAGGTTGGACTCTCGGCAGGCAGCGAAGGGCCAGAAAAGGTCTTTCTGATTCTTCTTGATGTTCAAACCTTCCGACAGGCAGAACAAGCTCCTGAGATCTCAAGTAGTTTTTTCCGCACCTGTGGAACTTCATATAAGTCCATAGTTCAGGTGGCTTACGTTATTGAAAGCCTTACCATGTCTGTCCGTGAACCTTGGTGATAAGAAAAGAGAAACTGGTCATAAGGATGAGGTATCCAATCCGGAAGGGCAATTGAACATGGCTTGAAGCTATCCTGGGGAGAAGCTCTGACTCTGATAACCTGGCACGTCCGCTATAATGTAGCCAATGCGGTTCCAGTTCGTAAGAAAAGTACATGGGCATGGACATATACACTACCCAGTATTCCAGCCCAACACGTCAAGTTCATGTAGCCGGTGGGCCAAGCGGAGTTTCAATAGTACAACTACATAGTATAGATCGTTCCGCGTTTTGTCTTACCTATGTTTTACCGCCAGTTTTTTGCCAATCGCTCGCCGCTGCGCGCGAGTAAATTGAACAGATCCAGAATCACCTCGGAGGTCAATGCCTCGATTTGATTAATATCTCCAATCTTCGTTACAACGTTTCAAACAAAAAAGCTAAAGAATATAGATAACGGCACCGAGCTATGCACAAACCAGCACAGCAAGCAAAAAGTAACTGAAACATAAATGCGTTGCATTGTCCTATCCCGAAAATTGAAACATTCCTTCCATCCGATGAAAAAAAAAAGTCCTTGTCCAGTCAAGGAAATATAGAGGGGAGAACGATGGAAGTCTACATTGCACCCCATTGACCTCCATTACCGCCTTGCGCGGGGAAGCTGCCACCTTGAGGGTACGTTGGAGCGTATACGCTTCCAGGCTGGCCAGATATAATCGGGGTTTGCATAGAGAAGAAATTCTGGGCAAGTTGCTGCTGTTGCTGCTGCTGCTGCTGTTGAAGTTGTTGTTGTTGTTGTTGAATCTGCTGCTGTTGCTGCTGGTGAAGTTGCTGCTGCTGTTGATACTGCTGCTGTTGTTGCTGCTGCTGCATTTGTTGTTGTTGTTGATGTTGCTGCATTTGCTGTTGCTGTTGCTGTTGCTGTTGCTGTTGCTGTTGCTGTTGCTGTTGCTGTTGCTGTTGTTGTTGATGTAGTTGTTGCTGCATCTGCATCGTTGTCATACCCAAAAACTGACCATGACCGGACCCATCGCCACCCAAATGCATTTGTGATGTAGGTTGGGCTGAAACCGGGTTTTGGTACATGTACTGCTGTCCCTGTGTTGATGGCGACGGTTGCATTTGCATCTGAGGTTGTGGACTGTGTGACGGGTATTGCTGTTGTGCAGGGCTGTGAGATAAGAATTGCGATTGCCCAGGAGGAGCCGACATGAAGGGATGGCTCGGTGAAGACGACAGAAAGCCTTGGCCAGACGGAACCTGTATGTGCAACGATGATTGAGATTGGGGCTCTGGTTGGAAGAATGATGCTGAGCTGGTCAGCGGGACAGAAGGATGTGATGTGAACGATTGCTGTCCATATGATTGTTGGAATTGTTGTGACGGACTAGAGGCCATCGGTGGTGCGGAGAATGGCGACGCCATGGGCGGGGCGGAAAAAGGTGGCTGTGATTGCTGTTGCGAGAATGGATTGATCCCAAACTGCGACGGTTGGAAAGGATTGATACCCATGCCGGACGAGGTGACTCCTACTGGGTAGCCATTCGAACCAACAGCGCCACTCATCATGGGAGTTTGCGTAGGTTGCTGATACTGCAGAGGTAAGGATGAAGTCGCTCCGGTATTACTGCTGAGTGAGCTAAGATCATCCCAAACGCCACCCAAGCTAACAGGTTTCGGTTCCTGTTTCTGTGGTGCTGTACCGAACGGACATGGTGGCGGGTATGGAGGGTATGAACTGCCCTGGGGAGGCTGTCTCGCTGAGGTCGTCGACGGATTCCGTGAACTGATCGGGGAGGATGCAGCAGCAGCATCAGTGGCGGTGACCGGAGTGGGAGAAGCTGTGGTAACCAGCGTTGCACTCGATCGCGAAGGGCCAAGCTTTGACGCTACCAGAGCCTTTTTGTCAATGAATCTCCTATATTCGTATTTTGCTGTGTCAATACGTTCAGCGTCTAAATTAAACGCCGTGCTCTAGAGTCATAATCGGCTCACCCCGGATGTATTGCTCAATTTCGCTATCGCGTTCTGAATCCTCCAGATTCGGTGGTGGTGGATTGCGTATTTCGTTTGGATTGTAGATCGCGTTAGATTTGACGTTTCCCATGTTTTTGACGACCTGGGTGTTATAACAGATGATGTTAGATTTGGATTGGAGCAGTGATTGAGTTTAGACGCTCACCTCGACTTGTTCTTTTGTCCAGTCGTCCATCGTCAAGCTTTTTCTGTGCACAGCAGAGTCAAGCATAGAAGGCAGGGAGGTATCAGGTAAACATACACTTTAGTGATATGAGTTCCTATTTTTCTGTGAATGCTTGCACAATTCACGCTACAATGCTTTCCCTTTGAGCCATCCGTCCACCCAATGTTCTAGTCCACAAACATACCAGATGAAAATCCCTAAGCTGTACGATGACCATCGAGGCATTCTGGCCTTGCAATCCGCACAAATATCTTGAAGAACGCAGTATCTGAATCCCGTTTCGAAAATCTTGGAATAACTTACTATTTCCCGGTA